CTTACTTGATATTTCTGCTGAAACTGTTGCAAAGAGCATCATACAAAATTGGGTTTCCAACTTCGGAGTGCCCACCATTATTACTACAGACAGAGGTGCCCATTTATTCCAACAACTCACAGAACTACTGGGAATCAAACGTATACGTACTACTGCATATCATCCCAGTTCAAACGGCTTAGTGGAGAGATTTCATCGTCAACTGAAAGCATCATTGATGGCAGTGAAGGACGATGATAAGTGGAGCGATGAATTACCTCTCGTACTTCTTGGAATACGTTCGACAATAAAACAAGATATCAAATGTTGTCCAGCAGAATTAGTTTATGGTACTACTTTACGACTACCAGGAGAATATTTCAACCCAGCCACTGAAGTTCCAGCTGACGAAACTACTTTTGTGCAACAACTGAGACAACATATGAGCCTTTTAAGATATCACCCACCGCGACATCAGCTCAACCAAGCATACATGCTTGAAAAACTAGAAAATTGCACGCATGTTTTCATACGACACGACGGTGTAAGGAAACCACTTCAACCACCTTATGACGGACCATTCAAAGTAATAAGCAGAACAAGCAAAATCATCACTGTCGAACGCGGAGGAAAACACGAGATTGTAAGCATCGATCGCGTAAAACCAGCTTTCATGGAAATAGAGGTGACTGAATGTTTACCCAAATCAACATCATCTCAAGATTCAAAATCTGGTGATATTCCAGCTAACAAAAAAGAAAGAATCACAAGATCAGGCAGACGAGTACACTGGCCACAAAGATTTGTACAGACAATTTATTTCTAATTCATTTCCATACTACCTTATTACGGTACTATTAACTGCATGTAAGATATAAATCTATTCTGTAACTCCTTACAATAACAACCCCATTATTATTCTAATAATTTTTCTGGATTTACTGTTACATTTTGCACAACTTTCTAAACATTTTGGTTCGTTTCGAAGTTGTTAACATTTTCGCATATATACAGTAATATTATCAAACCTCAAAAACTTAAAATCCTCAATTCGGTTTCCATACCAGAAACTCGTATATATTTCTTCTGTAATTGTAATTTACAATATCATTCCGAATACAGGTAAACTTCATTTACCTGCATTCTACGGAGGGGCTATTGTAGTGACCCGTTTTATTACTCATCATCGCAGTATACTTTCACCATGTAATTGGACTTTGATTTGTTTATCACTCTAAAGATTGCATGTTAACAATTGATACACTTTGCACTCGCTAGATTTTTGAATTTTGATTGCTGCAATAATACACTATCGTATTCCTTCGCAAGTGCCTTTTGAATTACGTTGTGGATGTCGAGTAATCGCAACGTTAGGTCACAATTATAAACGCGAAGAAGTACTAAGATATACGTGTACGCTAGTTTAGTCAAAATATAGCAGCACAACAGACCCTTATTATCTATGGTTAACTCTCCTATCCATAAAATCTCTGGCTGTTACACAGAACAGTTAGGACCCATTCTTAAAAAGCTGGCAGTACACCGTTTGAAGGACAGCTTCAAGTTTTCTGAAAAATTAGAAAGTCTAGTTGTCTCCAATAAGTTCATGGTATCGATTGACATGCCCTCATTATTCACAAATATCCCTTTGAAATAAACCATAGAGACTGTGTATAAACATTCCAACTTGCTTCATTTATCTGAAGAGAAATTCAAAGAACTTTCTACTTATGTGCACTAAGAATGTTCAGTTAAAGTTAAACAGTTTCATACACTGGCAGGCTGCTAGAGCTGCTGTGGGTTGTCATTAGGTCCTATCCTGGTGGATATTTTTATGGGATTCCTTTAACAAGAGGAGCTTAAAAGAGGCGACACAAGAAGGGACATTTTATGAGAGGTATGTTAATGACATATTTATTATATGTAATAATATAAAAAAGCATGCCTCTTGTCTATCTGACTTATATGACAAGGCACATCAGAAACTACAAATCACTATACAATATCAACTTGATTGATTTTGGACTTCTAAGATCTAGAGATGTAAATATACTAAGGTGTATTCGTTGTAAAAATATTCTGAGATTGACTGTATCTGGATTTCAACAGTTTTCTTCCCAAAAGCTCTTCAAACAAGCTACTATGAGGACATTGTTTTAGGTAGTGAAAAATGTTGTTTGAAAGAAAGATTAAGTGATAAACTCGTAATTATTGGAAAGTGTTTATGAGACAATGAATATCCCCGAAAACTTTCTGAAAAACTCAAGAGAACACCAAAAATATGTACAGTTGAAAATGATCCAGTTTTCCAAAAACATTGATCCAAAGGAGATTACTCATCTGCAAGAATTAGATACAGAATAAATCTCGTTCTCAAAAGAATTTATCTGGTGGACTGGTTATTTACATATTTACTAATAAGTTGCTCACTTATACAATATTACGTTAACATATCCCCCTTCCATGTTAACTCCAAATGTATATACCGATTTGCCTTTACGTGTTAAAGCACATACCTCAGGTAAATAGAAAGAAGGACTTGTGAATACATGTTGGAGTATATCCCAAGGAACTCAAATTATGCACTCACAAAGAAACAGTTGTAAGTCTTTCGCTAAAATGGTGAGAACATTTACATTTTCTCATATTTTCAATTTCCTTGCTTCAGTTAATCTTGACAATGTCATTTTGTACCCATTAAGTTACTTTTGTCTTCAGCCATACTCTTCACCTGAATATTTGTCCTCTAGTTGACTTACCAAAGCTTTTATCACCTCGGGTAATAAAAACTCAGAACTCTCAATCAAGATGTGTTACATGTTTTAATTTTTCCACATCTAACTAAGTTTCGATCACACTTCATAATTCTAGAATATACTTCTTACTTCGCCATTTATGCTGACAACCTCATTGATAACCACATAAGCTTCATTTCAGCTCCTCAGGCATTCAAACACGTAATGTTGATCCCACCCAACTGTAGAGTACAGAGTGATGATTTCGCACACTTTTTAGTCGAACGACGGAAAGGACACATTTCGTATATCTTTTATTCTAATTGACATCTTTGTTTTAAAAAACAACTTTTAGTTACACAGAAACACATACCCGCTCTGTTGTTCCTGCGTCTTCTTACTTTCCGCAACTTCTCATGTGCCGATGTTAACTTTGGAATTTGCAGGAACTGTCACATCCTCATCCAAAGTATATTCAACCACCTCTTCGACAATGTCCAAAATGGAGTAAAATATTATCGAAGCCTACATATTTGCCGTACCGCTTGATTATATAGTTTAAGTTGTGGAAGTTGAAATTAAACACGATTGCAAGTAACTGTAGCTTTACAGAACGTATTTACTTAAACAACTGTAATATGCATTTGAATATCTTCCATAGGTACTCCTTATTCTTTCGACAATTCGCGTTACAACTGAGTCTAGTGTGCACTCCACTACCCAACCTCCAAGTGCAGCAATACAAATATTCAACTGGTTATTATTCATAATGTAAGGCAAAAAGTAAGGCTATATTGAAAATACGAAAAAAAATATGATACGATGTGATAGGTCCAGACGAATAAATAGAGTAATCATATACAAAAAGTAAACATCAACAAAATATTTAGAAAAAAAATCAAAGACACAACAAAATTAAATGCAAGTAGCGTAGGTCAACACACGGGAGGTCACCGACGTTCAACGCACAAATCGACAAATACACACAGGCGCAAATGTGCATCCAGCAGTGCAGATGACCGGTCTCCCAGTAGTTCGCACACATTCATCAGACAGTCATGTGAACACATCATCTCTCATATTGCGAATTCGTGCTGTTGCCAGTTTGA